TTTAGTTACCCTAGCCAATATTCAAAAAGTCGGCCGCTCGACGCCTAAGAGGCTTTCTGGAAAAGGCGCTCAGGCGTTCTTAAGACGGTTACTGTAAGGCAATAGAACTAGGCGCCCGACTACACGGTCGGGTGGCCGATTAGGCGATCGAAAAGGCAGTAAAAGGCACTCGCCTAAGCAGCCTGCATGGGTATGGCAGAACAAAAATTTAGGGTGGGGGAAAAAAAAGTCATTTTACCCCCCTCAAAAAATAATATTAATTCGTAATTATTGATTTCTCGAAAATGTCTTTTGCAAGTGATATTAATTAATTTATTGGAAACCCAAAAATTATAATTACGAATATGCTTCTTACATGTAACATTAATTATTAATTTATTGAAAAACCAAAAAATATTATTAATTTCAAATTACTAATTTATTCAAATTTTTTTTTGCATGAGATAGTAATTAATTTATTGGCAACGCAAAAATAATAACTACAAAAATGCTTTTTGCATTTAATATTAATTATTAATTTATTCGAAAATAAAAAAAATAGTATTAATTCATAATTACTAATTTATCGCAAATGCCTTTTGCATGTGATAGTAATTAATTTATTGGGAACCCAAAAAAAATAACTACGAAAAGGCTTTTTGCATGTAAAATTAATTATAAATTTATTGGGAAGCCAAAAAAATAGTAATTACTAATTTATCAAAAATGCCTTTTGCATGTGATAGTAATTAATTTATTGGGAACCCAAAGTAATAACTACGAAAATACTTTTTACATGTAACATTAATTATTAATTTATTGGTAAACCAAAAAAATAGTATTAAGACAATTATTATTATATAACATATACAATAAATGAGGGGGATCCAACTTAAAAAAAAAAAATCACCGGCTGTTTTTGGGTCGGGGCGCCTACCTAGGCAGCCTAGCCCCCCCACCACCTAGGTGGCCGCCTTCGAGTTATTGAACATTGACCCTAGCCTCTCTCTCTCTCTCTCTCTCTCTCTCTCTCTCTTCTTCTTCTTCTTCTTCTTCTTCTACTACTACTTACTTACTTATTATTATATATATATATTATTATATATATACTATACTACTACTAACTAATA